AGTTTGTTTTCTCAGTCATCCAGGTATATAACAACAAAAAAGGTTGATTCAACCTTTTTTGTTAAAGTTGTGTTGTTTTTACATGTTTGACCAAGCTTGTGAAGCTGCTGGTGTGTTTAAGTGTGCTGCACTGGCGCAGAGTTTTTAATACATTTGTATCAGTACATTTATGTCTGCATTAAAAAAAAAATTTTAAGTTAATTCAGCACTGTTTTTCTGCATCAGATTGGTATCGGCTGATATTAAACATAAGCTATCAGTATCGGAAGTGAAAAAAGTGGATCGGTGCTTCCCTAGTTGCCATACGGCACATCGGCACAGGAAGTTGGTGTCTACCTCAGCCCTGCCGTTTTGTTTTTTTCTCAGTAGGTATGAGCATTGATGAATGTTCCTGATGATGCACCTGGTGAAGGTGTTGGTGAGGTGAACACCAAGATATTTAAAGTGTGGAACAATCTCCACAGGAGCTCCATCGATGTAGAGAGAACGGTCTTCTGGAAATCCATAATTATCTTTTTGGTTTTGCTGTTGTGGAAGAAGTTATTCTCTGCACTAGGAATGCGCGATATAAACGGTATACAGTAGAAACGATAGAAATTTAGTCTACGATAGAGATCTGTCTTCTACCGGCTAACCTCAGTAATGCTGTGTCTGATGTAAAATCAGAGTTGTCAGATTTAATAGTTACTTTTTTTTTGTGGAAAACTGCGCAAGTGGCGTTCAAGTCTTTTCTTCGAGAGCTAAGTAGCGATGCTACAAGCTAACTATGCCCGGCTTGCCGTAGTGTTGCCGTCTTCTGACGCATGCGCAAAACACTGTGTTCCGTCAAAAGTTTTTTTTTTTTCTTTCCATCGAAAGTTAAAGTAAGCGTTGGTCAGCTTCAGAGAAACCTGCTCTCTGATCTGTGAAAAGAACGCTGTGTTGTGTGAGTTTACTGCGAGACCCTCTGGTCAGAGCCACAGACTCATTTTGTGTCAGCTCTCCATTAAAGCAGAAGGAGGCGCCAACTAGAGGTTTGGAGGGTGAAGTGTTTCAGTTGCTGCTCTGTTGCTGTTCATTTCTTAAGTGAGAATACTGGAAACTGTTAAGTAGGGCTGCAACTAATGATTATTTCAATAATCGATTCATCGGCCGATTATTTTTTCGATTAATCAGTGAATCGTTACGTTTAGCTCCGTGGTTCTCCCGTGTCGTGTCATAAATTTTCAAAGCAGCATGTTTCAGTTTTTATCTTTGTGAAGTTCTCCCACACTTTGGAGGACTTGGGTCGAACAGTTTTCGCAGCGTTGGTCATTTGTAAAATTTACTTAATTTCCTTTGAAAACAGCCTCTGCTCTTCTTCCGCCTCCCCCCTCGCTCTGTTCAACTCGCGCTGCAGCGTTTTTTTTTTAAACTTTATTCAGTCAGTCAGCATTGACAATGAACTGCCCGTGAACAAACTGAAACGGCTCTGCAGCGCCGTGAAAGACGCTTAATCGCGCGACACAACGAATCGATAATGAAATGCGTTGCCAACGCTTTTAATCATCGATTTTTATCGATTTTATTGATTTGTTGTTGCAGCCCTACTGTTAAGTTGACAACATATTATTTTGTTTAAAACATATGGCTAAAACTACATTTGATATCTTTTGCACTGTTTTGCACTACAAGAAAGAAGCCCAGTACTTGAGTTGTTTATTATTTAAAAACTCTCTGGACCTAGTAGTGGAATTTTCCTAATTCAAAATATATGATGGCAAAAGGACCCCCTATGCATTTTTTAATTCCTATTGCAAGTTTTATACCAAAAACATATTGTGTATTATCGTTATCGCCACCCTTCACAGTACATATCGTGATATGAATTTTATGCCATATTGCACATTCCTACTCTGCACCATTTTGATTATTTTGATCATTAATATTTTTCGAGGTTCACGTTGCCTTTTTCTGTTGCTTCATGTTTGAACAGAAACCAGTCTGTAGTGTTAAAGCAGTCCTGGAGCTTCAGGAGGCCACACAGTGATGGTCTTCTGTGTGGCCTTCAGGCTCTTAAACACAGGGTGATGTGGAGGGACCAGCATGGTAGAAATGTCAGAACAGCTGAGGCTTGGGTGGGGGAGAGCTCTACATGTTTCTCTTCTTCTGGTGTAGACTGTTTCCGTCACAACAAGAACACAGCATCAATGCATCTCCTATTGACACAGTCTCAACTAAAGTAGGTTAATATTGTTACCTAGAGCTCAGACACTGGACAAAAAGACTAACGGGGGGAGGGGGGGGGGGTGTTGGCCTTCAATTTGGCAAGCACAACAACTCCTTTACTCTTCTGTTTCTAGGCGCCACCTCTTGCCTTTGTATTGTATGTTTCTCCATGTCCCGGCTCTCTAAAGCTGGATTTACCAAGCTCTGTTTTGAGCTTCGGTGAAATTGGAGCCGACTGATTATTTTACTTAAGAAGCTCAGATGAGCTGTGTTTCATTCTATATCTGCTCTTAATATTCTTGAAAATGGTTAGAGAGAGCTGAAAAAGCTGCTCCATGGCTCGCTAATGAACTATTTCTTACTTTAAACACACAACTCAGTGTCCTCTGGACAATCTCCTGGATGAGTGAGAGCGGTGGAAAGGTGAAGGGTGGAGTGTTATCTGCATGGGAGGGGGTGTGGGCTTTGATGCAGAAGTTTCTGGAATAAACTAAATTCCTAGTGACTTAGATACAAATAGGGGAAATATTGACAATAAAATTTATATTCAATATTTGTGATATTGCTATTTAGGGCATCGCATGAGGAACAATGCGTGGTGTATTGAATATACGTGTTTTTCGCAATTGAGTTTGAAAGTTTTGTCTGTGATCAACCAAAAAGCTCTCAAAGCTGTGCAAAAAACAAACAAACTATAAAATGCAAAATCAAAAATAATCCATAGAGAGAATTTGAGAAAAGAACAGAAAAGAAAATCTATAGAAGTCAACAGATGACTGTAGATCCCTATGGTAATGCAAATGTCTGCACTAAATCCATCCAACAGTTTTCTTGAGGTGGGCAAACACGTTCATCTAAAAAAAATTAGAATATTGTGAAAAAGTTCAATTTCTTGTCAATAATTTCAGAAAGTGAAACTCATCAATCCATCCATCCATTATCTTTACCCGCTTCTTCCATTTTGGGTCACGTGTGTCGCCGGTGCCCAAGCCCAGCATTCACTGTGCGAGGGGCGGGGTACACCCTGGACAGGTCTCCAGTCCATCACAGGGACAAACAACCATTCACACTCTCACTTACACCTAGGGACAGTTTAGATTTACTAGTTGCCAGGCCAGCACTGTAAATAAGAATTTGTTCTTAATGTTTATGCCTGGTTAAATAAAGGTGAAATGAAATGACACCAATCAGCCTAACATGCATGTTTTTGGTCTGTGGGAGGAAACGGGCGTACTCTGAGAAAACCCACACATGCACAGAGAGAACATATAAACTCCACTCAGAAAGGTCCTGGGCTGGGATTTGAACCAGCAACCTTCTCGCTGAGAGGCAACAGCTCTATCAACTGAGCCACCGTGCTGCTGATTATGGCTTAAAAAAATGAATAAACAAAATTCAGTGTCTCAAAATGAGAATATTCCACAGCCAGCTGTTGGCACCTTTGTCAGTGCAGGCAGGAGTCGAGTCCTGCTGGAAAATGAAACCAGCATCTCCATTCAACTTGTCAACAGACGAAAGCATGAAGTCTCTAAAATGTCCTGGTAGATGCTGCATGGACTGGACTTCAGAAAAGAAAACCCAGTGGACCAACACCATCAGAGGACACTGAACCTCTGAGCAACAGTCCAGTTCTTTGTCTCATCAGCAGGGAAGACGCTTCTGGTGTTTCTCTGGTTCAGGAGTGGCTGGACTTGAAGAATGAGATGTTTGTAGCTCATGTCCAGGAGTTAATCAATTGATCAGGGTGAGACACCACAAGTTTAAATTGAATCTCTTCACAATGTTCTAAATTTCTGATACACTGAATTTTGTTTTTTCATTAATTGTAAGCCATAATCATCAAAATTACAAGAAATAAAGGCTTGAAATGTTTCATCTATGTAATTAATATATGTTTCACTTTCTGAAATGATTTACAAAAAAATTGAACTTTTTCATGACGTTCTAATTTTTTAGATGCACCTGTATCATTATTTAAGTGAATAGAAGACGTAACAAGAGCAAATACAAACTCTTTAAAATACCACACCAGACATACTTATTATGCCAGTGTGACGTGATGCCTGTGGCTGTTCAGACTCACCACACTGAGGCAGCTTAGCTTTTTGCCAGGGTGTACGTCATGAAACAGAAAAATCTGGATCATTTTGAAAGTTTAAAATGGTCATGCTGTCTGCTCATATTCCTCCAAATGCAACAAAATTTGATGGAACATCACAGACAATGAACAACAATAGAAAGAATCCACACAGATATTCCTGTATCTAAAAAGTAAAATATTAAGTAGTTGCAGCACAAGCCTAATAAACCTTCTCTTCACAGGTCATTCTCCTCACACTGACAGAAATATTGTTGCATATAGTCCTGGAATGCTGGGAGAATGTACTGAGTGTAATAAAATGTGAATCCTTTTTAAAACACCCAATTTTTTATCTACAGCAACAAGGTTGAGTCGGGTCCTCTGGATGAATTCTTTGTTGAAATGTTTCGTCTTTCATCCAATAGACTCCTTCAGTTTGAGGAGCTACCTGGGTTTTTGAGCATGCATCAGGACGTCCTCGGCTTTTAGTCGTTTGTCTTGGTTGTGCTTTTATTCCAGCAAAATGAACACTCTGCTGCTAAGAATCCAGCAGGAGTTAAAAAAAAACTGAGGTACTTTTTTTTTACTGCTTATCCACTAGCAGGGATCTTACAGCAGCTAGCAGTCAGTGTCTTCCAGCCTTACGGCTACAGGTAATGTTTTTGTTGCATCATCCTGAAAAGATACTTTCTCAAACATAGCTTGTGTTACACTGACACTGTGCTCTAAAACGTAAAAGCATCAATAATATGTTCACCGTTTCTCAACTCCACAAGTGACTCCTTGGGTGCAGAAGAGAAAAAAAAAGATATATCAGCCAGAATTCTTAAACTGAAACTCTGATCAGAATATATTAGTGGATAATTAAAAGGTTAGAATGAATTGCTACAGCAATTGAGCAAATACCAGAAAGTAAGAAAGGCTTTTCAGACACCACAAATGTTAACAGCTCATGCCATTTCTAAAATATGCATTTGTGGAAAAACTGTCATAGCACTGCGTATTTTGTTTAAAACAGAGCATACTGTACTTTTCGCTGTATAAGTCGCACCTTTTTACATTATGCCTGTGACTTATACAGCGAAGTGACTTATTTATGGTCCCCCCCCCCCCCCCCCATTTATAATCCAATTTTTGGTTGAGATCTGATGATTTCATTCATTCTGACATGGAAAATATTGAACGCTACCATTTTCAGCCACTAGAGGGCCCTCGACTAATATGGCAAACCAAGTGTCTCATTAATAGGCAAAAGTGGCTATTATTGAGACACTTGGCTTGCCATACTGAGCCGCCTTTGTCTCGCTCCAGAACTCCTGGAGCAAACGTCAAATCAGCCGCATTTTGCCGCGCCGCCCAGGTGAAATGCAGCTGATATGACCAATGAAGTACATTTATTAAAGAAAAGTTCAACTGACACGCACCTTTACTATAATGTCGTGCAAACAAATAATTGTTTTTAGGTGGTTATCTTGTTAAATTTTCGAGAAATGCACAGCGAGTCATCCCTCTGCGCGCTCCCGCAGCCGCAAATTGGTTTTTGAAATGCAGCTGATTGGACCATTGAAGTACATTTATTAAGTAAAAGTTAAACTGAGACACACCTTTGCTATAATTTTGAGCAAACAAATAACTGTTTTTACGCCGGATGTCCGTCCTGACACAACCACAGACCACCGAGCTACCACTGCCCCTCTGTGTGGAGCAGAGAACTGCTGTCTAGGACACCCAGACTCATTCCTACCACTGTTAAATTTGGGTTTGGGTTTATATCAGAGCAACAGTGTCCACTTGAATTAATTTTTGTTCATGTTATTTTTGCGTGTATTCTACTGTAAGTTTTAATGGGATAGGCAAGTCACCTGTGATGTTCTGTCAAATCGTTATCTGTAGTTCTTACCTAACAGCTACAGCGTGCGCTCTCAGGACATTATTACCTGCAGTGTTCCCTCTGTGAGGACTGAACTAGGCAAAAAGGCCTTCTCCTGCTGGAATATTTTTGCAAAAAGATCTGAAGCTCTCGACCTTGACCTCTAAGTGGCTTTAAGCATCTGTTGGACTCCTGGCAAAAACCAATGCAGACATGTTCCTGTTTTTAGTTTTCTTCACCACTTTACAATCTAGCTGTTTTTTCTGTACTTTTCCTTTTAATTACCATTTTATTTTCACTTGTTTAAAAACAAAATCAGTATATAAATTGGTACGCATCCTTTGTGATTGTCTATTGTTGTCGTTGTCCATTGTTGTCCTCACTCTTTGTTAAAACCAAGTCTCTCTTGTAAATGAGTCCCCGAGGCTCAATGGGATTAACCTGTATTAATAAAGGTTGAATGAATGAATAAACAAGTGCTGACATCAGTCATCGAGTACAGAGTAAAGGAGAAAGGCAATATTCCAGTTAATATTCCAGTTAATCAAATGAGGCCCATTTTCAGGCGTATAAAACATCTTAACTGGAAAAACACCGGTATAGAAGAATGCTACATTAGCTAACATTAAAGTTCCACATTTTTCCTCGACATGATTTGTTCAGTTTGTTGTCGTTTTCATAAACCTTTATATGCTGATGATGCCGAGGTGGCTGAGCGTATCAATATGTCTGATCAGTGCATTCGGTTAAAAGTTTACGCAACATCTTGCAGAAATCAGTTTAAATTAACTGGAGATAAAAAGTAATGAAATGGTGTTAAAAGTTGAAACACTATTTCAAAGTTTAAACAGACTAATAAGAAATCAGGAGAAATTCTAATCAGTTGAGTTTGTGGCAAAACCTACTCAAGTGTTTACTGGGCTTTTTTCCAACAAAAGTTTTGATCGTTTCCTAAATATTTTGCTGAAATCTTGGCTCATTTTCATGAATTGTATTTTGTCTTGTCTAGTGAGCTTGTATTGTTAACAACCCCACATTATGAACTCTTTTATTACAGTTAGTTATGTCTAAATGTTTGTTTATATACTACCTCTGCCTTTTGAGAGGCAAAAATAAAGTTTCATTTTGGTTTAGTCCATCATACAGAAAGCATTCAGACCTAATTCCTAAAGTTACTTATGTGTTTAAAGATTTATCATAAGTAAATCTGTCAAAAAATAACTGATTCAAATACACAAAGTTTTATTGAAGCCAACCAACCCAGTCTCACTGTGGTCTAGTGTTATTCACAGCAGACATTTTGTGTGGTCACAGCATGTAATGTACAGGTGTAAAGAATGAATTTACTGACAGCTTAGTACTTTTTAGTGCTACAGTAAAACTTGAGAGCACATGATAAACAGCTGGATCTTTTCCAATGGGGAATATTGCCACCATTTTTTTCATTCAACCTTTATTTAGACAGGTAAATCCCATTGAGCCTCGAGGACTCATTTACAAGAGAGACCTGATTTAATTTATTTGTTCACTTCCTGCTGTGTCATATCCCAATATTTGCCTTAGAATGGGTGCATTTTCAGAGCTCGCTCTCAGTAACAAGCTTTCCAGTAACAAATGATTAGTAGCACAAATGATTTGTGTGTTTTTATTTACTATCAGCTCATTGTGAATCTTCACTGTTTCAACAACCCTCTGCTTCTCTACTGGTCTTGTGTTGCCAGACAACTCCATTGTAACTCAAATTCACTTTGAGCACATCTCATCCTGTTCCTCTCAAGTCTCATGTTTTCTCACAGATACAGATTCTTCCAACCGTTTCAAAAATGTGATCTCTCAGAACAGAATAGAGTAGAAAAGGATGTTTTTTCTCAACTGGAATCACTAAACATACTATTCTGGACAACAGGACTTCAGTGTTTTTGTTTTTATTAATTTTAAATTTGAGAAGATTTGACAATTTCTATCACTGATATAAAAATGAACAGACTTGCCTGAGACCGTGTATCTCTACCTCTGTCTCTGAGCCCACCCCTTCTGTCTGTGTGGTTGTTGTTTTTTCTGAATAGTAAAACTCATTTTATCAGAACCTTTTTTTATAGCGGCTTTTATTAAACTGCCTTTGGTTGTAATAGAAGCATTCTGTTTACTCTGCCTTTAGTTGAACTAAAAAAT